CTGCAAGACACTCAAGGTCCTCCTGCCTGTCCTCAAGGACGTCCGTGCCAAGAGCACACTCACCCCCGACGGACGGAGGACAGACAGACTCAGACTCAGCAACAAGACTAGCGGCATAGTCTAGACGACAGGCAGCAGCAAAGTCAACAAGCTCAGCAACTAAGGCAGACGTAGCAGCAGACTCAAACGACGGGTCAGTGACAACAGTGGCTAGCAGACGCGTGACAGTAGGGTGCTCAGCACGAAACCGGTCAGACTCGGGGTCCGCAACGACAGGCAGAGAAGACGCAGGAGGGGACGGCAGAGGAACACGCTGCGGAGGAGAGGAAGGACGACGGACTACGAGGTGGGTGTCGGGGACAGCCGGCAGACGCGGACGAGGAACACGACGACTGGAACGACCAGAACAGACAGGCGAGACAGGACGCGACGCAGGCTCACGACGCTGAGTAAGACCCCCTAGCTGCTCAGTGTAAGGAGAAGGAGCAGGCAGCGGTGAGCCAGGCTGTAATGGAAGACCAGTAGACGAAAGGAGACTAAGAACCTGGCGAAGCACAGAGTCAGGCGGTGGCTGAGACGACGGAGACGGTGGAGCGAATAACAGGCGCGGCTGTGCAGTGACACCAGCACCAGCAGCTCCAGTACCCCCAGCAGCTCCAGCACCTCCAGCAGCTCCAGAACCTCCAGCGCCAGCACCCTCAGCAGCTCCAGAACCTCCAGCTCCAGCGCCACCAGCGCCAGTACCTTCAGCAGCTCCAGAACCTCCAGCGCCAGCACCCTCTGCAGCTCCAGAACCTCCAGCTCCAGCGCCACCAGCGCCAGCACCTCCAGCAGCTTCAAAACCCTCAGCGCCAGCTCCTCCAGGACCAGCTCCACCAACAGCAGCACCCCCAGAACCGGCACCTCCAGTCCCAGGGTCTCCAGCCTCAGTGCCTCCAGCAGCAGCACCCTCAGGCTCAGCACCTCCAGCCCCTGCAGCTCCAGTACCTCCAGTACGAGCACATCCGGGACCAGCACCACTCCCAGCTCCAGTGACGACAGCAGAAGTACCTCCAGCGGCAGAGCCCCGAGCTCCAGAAGCGCGACCCTGACGGCGACCGTACCAGTCGTGCAGCTGCTGCGAGGTGAGAGGCACACGCGGACGAAGGCGGCTACTCCAAGGAAACCGCGTAACAGCAGACTCAGAACCCTCAGCGCCAGTACCCGCAGCAGCTCCAGAACCTCCAGCGCCAGCACCCTCAGCAGCTCCAGAACCTCCAGCTCCAGCGCCACCAGCGCCAGTACCTCCAGCAGCTCCAGAACCTCCAGCGCCAGCACCCTCAGCAGCTCCAGAACCTCCAGCTCCAGCGCCCTCAGCAGCTCCAGAACCTCCAGCAGAAACAACTCCAGTGGCAGAGTCACCAGCTCCAGCGCCTCCCGCAGCAGGGCCCCTAGCTCCAGCAGTGTGACCCTGACGGCCAGCGTACCACTCAAGCAGCTGCTGTGGGGAGAGAGGGAGTCGACGACGAGAGTGCAGCGGTGAGGCACCAGCGGAGCGACTACGGAGACGGTCGCCCCAGGGAGACTGCTCACCTGACGCCCCAGCGCCCCCAGGCTCAGCACCCCCAGACTCCTCACACCCAGGCTCAGCACCTCCAGTCTCCGCACCCCCAGGCTCCGCACCTCCAGGCTCCGCACCCCCAGACGCAGCACCCCCAGAAGCAGCAACCCGAGCAGGACCACCCTCAGCAGGACCTGAGTCACCAGTGACCTCAACCGGCTCAGTCAAGGGAGGAGGGTCTACCTGAGACACACCTGAAGGAGCAGGACCGGGAGCGGGGAGGGGGTCTACCTGGGGAGCACCTGGAGCGAGGAAGAGTGGCGGGGGGGGGAGAGGGGCAGTGCGGTAGGGGAAGAGACGGTAAAAGGGAACCGACTCGTCGAACGTGACGTCCTGAGAGGGGAAGACACGACGCGAGGTGGGGTGGTAATACTGCCAACCAGGCGCGTCAGGGACAAAGCCAAGGAAGACACAGGGAACAGCGCGGGCGGAGAGCTTGTCCGCGGTGGTATCGCGGACAAAGGCACGAGCACCCCAGACCCGGAACACCGACGCATCGCCAACCTTCCCCGTCCACAGCAGTGTGGGCGAGGTCTCCGGCAAGGAGACACGGGGCCAGAGGTTGAGCTGATGCGCGGCGTACCGGACCGCAAACGGCCACAGAAAATGGGGGGCAGCCGCATGGATCATGGAGGTACGAGCGACCTCCATGACTAAGCCAATGCGGCGCTCAGCAACCCCATTCTGCTGCGGAGAGGCCGGAAGCGTGAACGACTGGCGGATGCCGTGCTCCGCACAGTAGGCTGCCAAGAGGTCTGAGGAGAACTCACCACCTCTGTCAGAGTGCAGACGCAGGACAGGAAAGTCCGACTGGAACCGCTCGCGGAGCTGGAGACGAGTAGCGCGGATCCAGGGGATCAAAACATCAGGGACCTCCCCCTTGCTGCGCAAGGGGAAGACCGTGGTGTAACGCGTGCAGTCGTCGACGACCAGCAGGAAGTACCGCTCGTGGCCCTGTCCACGGACGCGGGCTGGGCCCCACACGTCCAGGTGGAGAGTCTGCAGGGGAGCCTCTGTGGGAGGGAACGAGGAGGAGTGAGGAGCGGCGCGCTGCCGCCCCTCGACACAGGGAAGATAGGGAGGAGCAGGCGAGGGTGGTAGAGGAGGCAGAGTCTCTGGAAGTCCAGAGACAAGGAAACGGCCATGCATGCTACGAAGGCGCTGCACCGAGGGGTGACCAAGGCGGTGGTGCCAAAGGAGGGTCTGGTGCGACAGAGCGCGACACGAGCAGGGTGTCACACGCTGACCTCTAGGGGTGAACTGGTCAACCCACACATCCTGTAGGTCAGCTCCACTCACCAAGTTCGTAGAGAACGAGGGGAGGTGAAGACCTGACAGGGAGCCAGACGGGACCGCCGGACACGGCAGGACCGTGGAGGAGTGCGCAAGGACTGGACCCCCAGAGGGGTCTGCCAGGGAGACTGCAACCGGCTGACGGAGCGGCGTGAGTGTGGTGCTGTCGCGGAAGAAGGAGCGAGAAGCACCTGAGTCAAGTGTGAAGGTGTACACGGCCTCAGCAGGCGCAGTACCAGAGAGAGCAGACTCACCAGCACCTGGAGCAGCAGCCTCACCAGTACCAAGAGCAGGAGATGCACTAGCACCTAGAGCAGCAGCCTCACCAGCACCTAGAGCAGCACGCTCTATACCTGGGTCAGGCGGTACGCACAGGGAACAGGCACGGTCAGCACTAGTAGGCAATGCATACATGGCAGTGAGAATAGCATCATAGTCAAGAGCAAAGATATCTACCCTCTGTCCAAGCAGCTCCAGCCAGGAGGGGAGCTCAGCCTCGTCGCCAAACTCGGTACGCCAGGCGTCGCTCAGACGGGCGAAGCAGCGGGACTGTGTGTGACCAAGCGTCCCGCACGGCTGACCGACCCGATCACCTGTGCGAATGACGTACGGGCAGCGAACGGTACTCAAAGACCCTCTACTCTGAGCGTACCACTCGTGAAGCTGCTGGGACGTAAGTGTCTCGCGTGGACGCTGCTGCAGCTGCAGCTGGCCACTGCCAGACGCTCCCAACTGACCAGCTCCAGGGCGACAGCTACGACGGCGACCGCCACAACCCCAACTAGCGTACCACTCACTAAGCTGCTGGGGCGTGAGAGACTCGCGTGAACGTCGCTGGAGCTGCATCTGGCCACCGCCAGTAGCAGTAGTAGCAGCAGTAGCAGTAGCAGCAGTAGCAGCAGCAGCAGCAGCAGCAGCAGCAGCAGCAGCAGCAGCAGCAGTCTAGCAGTAGTAGTAGCGCAGGCAGGGCAGGCGCGGCAGGCAGGCAGGCAGGCAGGTAAGTGCTCACCAGTGGCGAGAAGGGCAGGCTCACAACGGCGGCGACGGCGGGGCCGCGACAGCTGCGGCAGAGCAGGACCGCGTCGGAGGAAGGGCAGGTCCGCGACAGCTGCTGCAGGGCGCGGACGTGACGGCGGCAGCAGGCTCCACGGCAGCTGCTGCAGGGCAGGGTCGCGACGGCGGCAGGAGGCTCCGCGGCAGGTGCTGCAGGGCGGGGCCGCGACTGCGGCAGGGCGCTCCATGGCAGCTGCTGCAAGAGCGACGGCGGCGTCCAGGGGCAGCCGCGGCGCGCGGGGCTGCAGCGCGCCACGCGAGCTGCAAACGCGGCGCGCGAAGCCGCCGCGGGCTGCGCGAGGACGGCAGCCGCGGCGCGCGGGCAGCGAACGCGACGCGCGGCGCTGCAACGCGACGCGCGGGCAGCGAACGCGACGCGCGGCGCTGCAGCGCGACGCGCGGGCAGCGGGCGCGACGCGCGGGGCTGCAGCGCGACGCGCGGGCTGTGGGCGCGACGCGCGGGGCAGCGAACTGGCGGGGCGGCGCCCTGGCCTAACGGGCCTGCAGGGGCGGCGCGCAGGCCTGACGTGTCTGCAGGCGCGGCGCGTGAGCCTTACGGGCCTGCAGGGGCAGCGCTCTGGCCTAGGGCAGCAGTGGGCAGTACGAGGGCTGCAGGACGGCGCGCGTAGCGCAGCACGTCACAAGGCAAGGCAGGCAGGCAGGACAACACGTGGGGTAACACGGTAACCGCAACGGTAGGTGGGCCCGAAAAAAAAACGGTCCTACGGACCTAGTGCTCTGAAACCATGTCAGAATCAAGCAGCAGGAATGGATGAACTATGAAAGAGTTGGGTACAAGTATGAAACCCTAAAATGGGCTGTACCCCATATTGGCTACCCCACTATAGCCTACACATATATAACAAGCATATGCTTTGACAGCCTTTTCCTGTCGCATCATTTTTTTTTGCCTTTCTATTTTCATGGGAATTTCAAGGACCCTGGCGTGTGACCTTGCTCCACGCGCCCAACCCCCTTCCCCCCCTTTACTATTTCCCACCTCCCCCTTCTCCCGTCCTCCCTCCAGGTGCGATTCTCGAAAGATGTGCGCAGCATGGTGGTGTGGCGAGCCATGATGAAAGCCATATACCAGCAGCACATGGCGGCCTTCCCCCAGGACACGCCCCCCCTGCTGGCTACGATTCTCCCCCCGCTCCCCCTCTCTCCCCCCTCTGTCCCCCCTCCCCCCCCACCTCCCTCCTTGTGCTCCACATCACAGGTGCGTTTTTCTAAAGATGTGCGGAGCATGGTGGTGCGGCGAGCCATGATGAAGGCCATGTACGACCAGCACCCGGCGACGTTCCCCCAGGACGCTCTCAAGCAGCTGGCATACGACGGCCAGAACGCCCTCTTTGCCCTGCGCGCGCTCGAGATCCCGTCTCCCAAGGCGTTCCCTATCAAGATTATGGACGAGCGGTGAGTGCTGTGTGAAGTGTGCGAGCGTGAACGCCACGTACGAGCAGCACCTACAGGCCTTCCCCTAGCCAGGACGCCTTTTGAGACGTCTCAAAAGACGAGCAGTGAGTGCTGTGCAATGTGAAGCGTGCGAGCATGAAAGCCATGCACGACCAGCACCTGCAGGCCATCCCCCAGCCAGGACGCTCTCCCCCTGCTGGCATACGATGGCCAGAGTGCCCTCTTTGCCCTGCGTGCGCTCAAGATCCAGTTGCCGCAGGCGTTCCCTATCAAGATTATGGACGAGCGGTGAGTGCTGTGTGATGCGTGCGAGTGTGAAAGCCATGTACACCCAGCACCTACAGGCCGTCCCCCAGCCAGGACGCTCTCCCCCTGCTGGCATACGACGGGCAGAACGCCATCTTTGCCCTGCGTCCGCTTAAGATTCCGTCGCCCCAGGCATTCCTATTGTGATCAAGGGCGAGCGGTGAGTGCTATGGAATGGAATGTGTGCATGTGTGTGGGTGGGGGACGGGGGTTGGGGGAAGAACAGGTAGAGAGAGGGGTGGGGGGAGCTTCGTTGCCATGCGTCCGCTCAACACCCAGTCGCCCCAGGCGTTCCACATTGTGATTAAGGACCAGCGGTGAGTTCTGTGCATCTGTGTAAATAGGGGAAGGATGTTAGGGGAAGAGAGACACAGGTGGCAGAGGTAGAGCTCGCAGACATCAAGGCTGCCATCACGCCAGCGGCCACCACTACTGTTTCCGCCCAGGACGCCCTCCGTGCTCTCGATGTGAAGCTGCGCGACTATGCTGCCCAACGGTACGCCCTCTGTGCGCTCTGTGCCCTCTGTGCTCCCTGTGCCCTATGTGCTCTCTGTGCTCTCTGTGCTCTATGTGCCTTCTGTGCCCTCTGTGCCCTCTGTGCCCTCTGTGCCCTCTGTGCTCCCTGTGCCCTCTGTGCCCTCTGTGCCCTCTGTGCCCTCTGTGCCCTCTGTGCTCCCTGTGCTCTCTGTGCTCCCTGTGCCCTCTGTGCTCCCTGTGCCCTCTGTGCTCCCTGTGCCCTCTGTGCTCCCTGTGCGCTCTGTGCTCTCTGTGCGCTCTATGCTCCTGAACTGTATGCACGCTCCTTGCTGCATGCCTCCGAATGCGGTACTGTGCTGTGTTGTGCTGTGCTGTGCGGTGCTGTGCTGAGCTGTGCTGTGCTGTGCTGTGCGGTGTAGTGCGGTGCCGTGCCGTGCCGTGCCGTGCTCTGCTGCAAACTCCCAATTGCCATACATCCAAACATCAGTTTCTGAAGCATGGATGTTAGAAGGCTGTACCGACATTGCCTCACACCCGCATGCCCTCCGCCTCCCTCTGCTCCCACCCCACCCATGCTCCATCCCCCGCTCGTGCAGCTTCCTCTTGGTGAAAGACAAGTTTTTCGACCGCAACTTTGGCAGTGCGGCACCTGCATTCTCTCAACACTGAACACTCATATGCCCAATGCCCCTCTTTGTTCCCATGCTCTATCCCTCCCACCCTCCTGTCTGCAGCTTCCTCCTGGTCAAAGACAAGTTCTTCGACCGCAACTGTGGGAGTGCAGCAACGGCTATTCTGTGCACTCACACAACCAGCGCCCTCCTTTGCTCCCATGCTCTATCACCCCACCTGCAGCTTCCTCCTGGTCAAAGACAAGTTCTTTGACCGTAACTTTGGCCGCGTGGCCCCTCTCCCGGGGGGCATTGAGGCATGGACGGGGTTCAATGTCAGCTTCCGGCCAATCCACAACGCTCTGGCGCTCAACCTGGGTGCGTGCTGTGCTGCGTGCATGTCAGTCAGATTGAGTACTTTGAGTGCTTACTTCATCCTGCGTGCATGTCAGTCAGTCTCACCATACACACACATCCACGATGCAACAAACCATCCCCTCCTCTCCCTTCCCTCCCCCCTCCCATTCTCCTGTCTTGTGCATCTCACCTTCTCACAGACGTTGTGACGGCGTGCATGGTGCAGCAACCCATCCCTGTGTCGGACGGAACTTAATTTTTTACCCCACGCCCGTGTGTATGACACCCTGTGAATGACAGTTCTACTCCCCCCCCCCCGCCCGTGCACTCGCATCATCCCACAGACGTCGTGACGGCATGCATGGTGCAGCCCATCAATGTGCAGCCCATCGATGTGCAGCCCATCAATGTGCAGCCCATCGATGTGCAGCCCATCCATGTGCAGCCCATCGATGTGCAGCCCATCTATGTGCAGCCCATCGATGTGCAGCCCATCAATGTGCAGCCCATCAATGTGCTACTTGGTTCCATTCTCCCACCATCCCGCCCCTTCCATTCCACCCACAGACGTCGTGACAGTGTGCATGGTGCAGCCCATCCCTGTGCCGAACCTCCTCATCTCCTTCCTCAACCGCAACCCGCCCAACTGCCAATTCCCGTGCCCCCCATTCCCCCACCTCCCATTTTCCCGTGCACTCTCACCACCTAACAGACGTCGTGACGGCATGCATGCTGCAGCCCATCCCTGTGCCGAACCTGCTCCCTGTGTAACCTCTCCATCACCCCGTGTCCCTTCTCTCTCCCCTGCCATGTACACAACCTCACCATGCACACAGACGTCATGACGGCATGCATGGTGCAGCCCATCCCCGTGCTCGACCTGCTGGGACATCTCCTCAACCGCAACCCGCCCAACCGCCCCGATGCTGAAAGGATCCGGTACTGCCTCACTGCCTCTCTGCCTGTCCGCCTCTCTGCCTGTCCGCCACTCTGCCTGTCCGCCTCTCTGCCTGTCCGCCTCTCTGCCTGTCCGCCTCTCTGCCTGTCCGCCTCTCCGCCTGTCCGCCTCTCTGCCTGTCCGCCTCTCTGCCTGTCCGCCTCTCTGCCTGTCCGCCTCTTTGCCTGCCTGCCTGCCTGTCCGCCTGCCTGCCTGTCTTCCTGTGTGCCTCTCTGCCTGCCTGTCTGTCTGTCTGTCCAAGGTGTTTCCGCTCTCCTTGTCCCATTGCTCTTCTTTTGAGGCGCCTCACGGAGGTAGAGCATCAAGGTACTGCTACTTACCGAGGTGCCTTTTGAGTCGGCTCAAAAGGCGCCTCACGGAGGTAGAGCATCAAGGTACTGCTACTTACCGAGGTCCCTCAAAGAAATTCCAGGATCAAGGTAAAACACGAGGGGACAGAGCCACACGCACGGTGCTTCCTCAAATGGCCCCTGCTGCCTCCTCCATCCTCCGCCTCTCTCAATCGCAGCTGAATGGCTTCTTGAAGAACCTGAGGGTGCAGGCAAGGCCCAGCTGGTAAAGCATACAAGTCTTCAAAACATGTACCCCCCTGCTCCTCTCCCTCATCCGTCTCTCCCAATCGCAGCTGAAGGGCATTCTGCGAAACCTGAGGGTGGAGGGAAGGCCTAGTGGGCAGAAGCACAAGGTGTATGACCTCACACGCGAGGGGGCTGCTGACCTCAGGTGATTCTGCACCTCCCTCTCAGGTGAGATTCTGCACCTTCCTCAGGTGATTCTGCACCTCCCTCTCAGGTGATTCTGCACCTTCCTCAGGTGATTCTGCACCTCCCTCTCAAGTGATTCTGCACCTTCCTCAGGTGATTCTGCACCTCCCTCTCAGGTGATTCTGCACCTTCCTCAGGTGATTCTGCACCTCCCTCTCAGGTGATTCTGCACCTTCCTCAGGTGATTCTGCACCTCCCTCTCAGGTGATTCTGCCCTTCCTCAGGTGATTCTGCACCTCCATCTGAGGTGATTCTGCACCTTTCTCAGGTGATTCTGCACCTCCGTCTCAGGTGATTCTGCACCTTCGGAGAGTCATTCTCCACCTTAAATCAATCAATCGGTTCCGCATGTTTCATCTTTCTCAGGTATGGAGCTTCATTCAGGCAATGCTCACTCACAGGCCTCAGCTCCCTCCCTGTTGTTGAGACGTAAAAAAAAAAAGCTGTCTGCCCATGCTCTTGCCATCACGTCCTGCCTGCCTGCCAGTGCGTGCAGCTGGCGCAGCAGAGGAGAACCATAGCGTGATGCCTGTATTGGCGGACTACTGCCAGCCAGCATTGCCCCTATCCGAAATCCATTCCTGCACCATCCGGAAACTTCTCCCCTTCCTACCCACCCCCCTTGCTCCAACACCGCCAGGTTCAACAACCGGTGGAGCAACGATGAGAGCCAGAGCGTGGCGTAATATTACGAGCGGCAACACCACTGGCATTCCTTTGCACCATCCACCAATCTCCTGGTTTCCCCGCGACCGAACTCTGACAGGTTCAACAACCGGCGCAATAATGATGAGAGCCAGAGCGTGACGGAGTATTGCCAGCAACAGCACGACTGACGTGTCCTGCCTGCTCCATCCATAAATATTTTCCTGTTAACTCTGATAGGTTCAACAACCGGCGCAACAACGATGAGAGCCAGAGCGTGGAAGAGTATTACCAGCGGCAACACAATATCACCCTGCGCTTCCCCCACCTGCCCTGCATTTCTGCGTCCAACCGGCCGAACAGGCCCTGCTGGGTGCCCCTGGAGGTGAGACACAGGGTGTGGCGGAGTGAGGCAGTGTGTGGCAAAGCAGAGGGGGGCAGAGTGGGGCAGAGCTGGGCAGAGGGGCAGGGTGGGGCAGATTGGGGAAGACTTGATTGAACCATCGTATCACGTCACATCACATCACATCACATCACATCTATCTCACAGCTTTGATGCGCCTCAGATCATCCTGCTCCAGTGTACACATGTGCGCTTTGCTGATTTGTCTTATCACCTCTCTATCCACCAGTCAGTCGGCACCCACCCATCAGCTGCGCCAGCTAACACCTGTGTGTGACCCATTCAGCATACTTGTCTGTGCATCATACGTGCATGCATGCGCGTCCTCCCACCAGCTGTGCAGTGTGGACGCACAGAGGCACCTGCGCCAGCTGACACTCAAGCAGGTGGCAGCTATTGGCGCCATCTGATGCCTGTGCAAGCTATCTCTCTCCCTTTCCCTGTGTGTCTCTCTCTCTCTCTTCCTCCTCTCTTCCCACCAGCTCTGCAGCGTGGTGGACGCACAGAGGTACCTGCGCCAGCTCACACCGCAGCAGGTGGCAGCCATTGGCAATCTGCGCCTCAAACCCGACAAGCGCCGCAACGACATCGCCAATGTGTGTGACAAGGGAACCCCACCACTCTCTGCTTGCCTCTTGCCGCTTGCCTCTTGCCGCTTGCCTCTTGCCTCTTGCCGCTTGCCGCTTGCCTCTTGCCTCTTGCCTCTTGCCTCTTGCCTCTTGCCTCTTGCCTCTTGCCTCTTGCCTCTTGCCTCTTGCCTCTCGCCCCTCGCCCTGCCTCACTCAATCTGCGCCTCAAACCCAACAAGCGCCGCAACGACATCGCCAGAGTGCGTGCCAATCCAAGAAAGCTTCGCCTTTGCTTGCTTGCCCCATTACTCTCAGCCTGCCCCTTTGCCTCTTGCTGCTGTGCCTGTTGCCCATTGCCTCTTGCCTCTCTGCCCCTTGCCTCGTTTCTCGCTGCCCTGTGTCGCCATGTGCCTCAAACGCGACAAGCGCTGCAGCGACATTGCCAGTGCGGGTCTTGGGGTGGATGTTAAAGAAGCCACATCACTCTTGGCAGCCTCTTGCCCTTGCCCCATGACATGGGGTTCATTGTTTTGCTCGTCCCTACACCATGTGGTGTGTCTTTCACCTCTCGTGTTTGTCATAAAGTCTGTCGTACTGTCTGTCATACTCTCCCCCTCTTTCTCCTATGGTACCTCCTCTTTCGTATTTTTCTTGCATGTCTTGTCATGGCATGCGGCATGACAAGACATGCTTGCCATGGCATGGTTGCCATGGCATGCTATGTTGACATGGCATAACATGGCACGGTATGGTGACTTGGCATGGCACATGGCAGGCGGTGAATGCAGCGGGTCTGGCAAACAACGATTTCTTGAAGGCCTTTGGCATGACCATCCAGCCCACCATGATGCAGGCCGATGGCAGGCAGCTGGAGCCACCCGTTGTAAGCTTGGTGGTGGTGTAGGCATGGTGGTAGTGTTGTATTTAGGTGCCTCCAGCCCAACATGATGCAGGCCGATGGCCGCCAGCTAGAGCCTCCTGTTGTAAGCCTGGTGCTGGTGGTGGTGGCATTGTGGTGGTGGTGTAAGCATGTTGATGACAGGACACACATAAAGCTGTGAGCGCATCCAGCCCACCATGATGCAGGCTGATGGCCGCCAGCTGGAGCCTCCTGTTGTAAGCCTGGTAGTGACATGGTGGTGGTATGGTATGGTTGTAACCGCGGATCATGGTGGTAATGCCGCTGCTGTAGGCATGGTAGTGATGCATCTCGTTGCGTGCGCAGCCAACCCAACATGATGCAGGCTGATGGCCGCCAGCTGGAGTTGCCTACTGTAAGCCTGGTGCTCGTGGTGCTGGTGTAGGCATTGTGGTGGTGCAGGAGACATGTTGGTAACGCTGTAAGCACGGTGGTGGTGGTGCTTTAGGCATGGTGGTGGTGCTTTAGGCATGGTGGTGGTGCTTTAGGCATGGTGGTGGTGCTTTAGGCATGGTGGTGGTGCTTTAGGCATGGCGGTGGTGCTTTATGCATGGTGGTGGTGCTGTAGGCATGGTGGTGGTGAGATGGTGGTAATGCTGTAAGCACAGCGGTGGTGGTGGTGGTGCGGTAGGCATGATGCTGGGGACACTGACATAACACACGCATCACTCTGCATGCGCTTCCAGCCCACCATGATGCAGGCTGATGGCCGTTAGCTGGAGCCGCCTATTGTAAGCATGCAATGATATGGTATGATATGACATTAATTTGCATGATACGATACGATATGATATGATATTATTTAATCTCTATTTCATGATATGAGCCCAAGAAGCTATCTCTGTGCGTTCATGTCTGTCCGGCTGTCCCGATTTTGGTCTCTCCTGCTCTCGTTGATCCCACTGCTGCAACTACAGTTTGGCGAGAGGGGCACCATGCAGCCTCGGGCTTGCATTATCAATCGACCCTCCCTCTCCCAATGCTCGTTTGGTCATTTGGTCGTTTGGACTCTCCCTGCCCTGCTCTCGTTGATCCCACTACTGCAGCTACAGTTCGGCGAGAGGGGCACGGGCACCATGCAGCCTCGGGACGGGCAGTGGAACATGAATGACAAGGTGAGAGGCAGTAGGCGTCTGCGAAGCATTGGGTATGCAGGGTGGTGTAATACAAATGACAGTGGGACGGGCAGTGGAACATGAGCGATAAGGTGAGCGGCAGTAGGAGCGGGAACCAACAGGACTGGCGTGGTAAAAAATGAACAACCACGTGTGGTTCTGCATCCTCCTCTTCTTCCCTCCTATCCTTTACCCCCCTTCTCCACCCCAGCGCATAGTAGAGCCAGCCACCCCACCCAGCGCATACTCTAAACATGCGCATTATCCCACCACCACTGTGTGCGTGAACGGTGAAACACCCCTCGCAACACGTGCTTCTGAACCCTCAACCAACCCCTCTGTCCACTCGTCTCCCCTTGTGCCCTTGCCGTGTGCAATGTATGCTTGCACCCGCCACCATCAACACAAGCCCTCCTTTCCCCCTGTTCCCCCTCGTGTCCCTTGCGCTCTTGCGGCTTGCAGCGCATGTTTGCACCCACCAAGATCGACTCGTGGGCAGTGGTGTGCTTCGACCACCGTGTGAGGGACCCCATGCAGGTGGCGATTACCCTCAAGGACTGCTGCGCGCGCAAGGGGCTGGTGAGTAAGGAGTCGTTCATTGCCGCAGGATGTGTACCAAGTTGCCTAGGATAGCCTAGCCTAGCCACCAGTGTGCTTCGACCACCACGTGAGAGAACCCATGCAGGTGGCGGCTGCCCTCATCAGGGACTGCTGCGCGCGCAGGGGGCTGGTGAGTGTAGAGCCAGTCAACTGAGGATCTGAACCCCGGGCTCGACTCAACCATTGGGGCGCCTCAAAAGTGCACACGCAAGGGGCTGTTGAGTCGGTGTATATTCACTCTTCTAGAGATTTCAGCCGCTTTCCTTTTCTCGCGTTCAGGGACTTCTGCATGCGCAGGGGGCTGATGAGTGTCGGGCCGTTCAACTGACGAGCTCAACCCTGGGTTCGACCCTAGGCTCGACTCAGACATTTTGAAGAGTCAAGCCACCACTTCGAGCTTATGCCGATGCTTGCTCCCTCCCTCCCTCCCTCCTTCCCTCCCTCCCTCCCTCCCTCCCTCCCTCCCCACCCTCCCTCCCTCCTTCCCTCCCCACCCTCCCTCCCTCCCTCCCCTCCCTCCCTCCCTCCCTCCCTCCCTCCCTCCCTCCCTCCCTCCCTCCCCTCCCTCACTCCCTCCCTCCCTCCCTCCCTCCCTCCCTCCCTCCCTCCCTCCCTCCCTCCCTCCCTCCCTCCCTCCCTCCCTTTCTACCCTCCCTCCCTCCCTTTCCACCCTCCCTCCCTCCCTCCCCTCCCTCCCTCCCTCCCTCCCTCCCTTCCTCCCTCCTTCCCTCCCTCCCTCCCTCCCTCCCTTCCTCCCTCCCTCCCTCCCTCCCTCCCTCCCTCCCTCCCTCCCTCCCTCCCTCCCTCCCCTCCCTCCCTCCCTCCCTCCCTCCCTCCCTCCCTCCCTCCCTCCCTCCCTTCCTCCCTCCCTCCCTCCCTCCCTCCCTCCCTCCCTCCCTCCCTCCCCACCCTCCCTCCCTCCCTCCCTTTCCACCCTCCCTCCCTCCCTCCCCTCCCTCCCTCCCTCCCTCCCCTCCCTCCCTCCCTCCCTCCCCTCCCTCCCTCCCTCCCTTCCTCCCTCCCTCCCTCCCTCCCCTCCCTCCCTCCCTCCCTCCCTCCTCCCTCCCTCCCTCCCTCCCTCCCTCCCTCCCTCCCTCCCTCCCTCCCTCCCTCCCTCCCTCCCTCCCTCCCTCCCTCCCTCCCTCCCTCCCTCCCTCCCTCCCTTCCTTCCTTCCTTCAGATGATCAATAACCCCCCCCCTGAGCCGATTAGGGAGGACCCGCGGTCAGCACCGCCTGAGAAGCTGGTGCAGAAGGTGATCCAGCTCCTGGCGAAATTCAAGCCGGAATTTGTCCTCTTTATCCTCGAAGCCTGAAAGACGAGCCCTCTGTATGGTATGTGCAAAAGACGGTGTGCGGAAGACGATGTGCCAAAGACGATGTGCGAAAGACGATGTGCGAAAGACGATGTGCGAAAGACGATGTGCGAAAGACGATGTGCGAAAGACGATGTGCGAAAGACGATGTGCGAAAGACGATGTGCGAAAGACGATGTGCGAAAGACGATGTGCGAAAGCCGATGTGCGAAAGAGACGATGTGCGAAAGAGACGATGTGTGAAAGACGAGCCCCTTGCATGGTATGTAGGGAGGGAGGGAGGGATGCCATTTGCTGTGCTCCTCCCCCCCCTCTCACCTCCGCCTCACATCGTCCAAGGGTTTCAGTTCAGGCTCGACTTCATTTTCTGGATCCTGCTAGTCCAAACTGCAAGAGCGCTTTATCAGTATCAATGCCAAACAATGTATGGCACAACCACCTCCACTCCACCCCCGTTAACCTTTCACCACCACTTCATCTCCTGCAACACCCATTCAATTCTCTGATTATTTATCAGCGGCAGCATCGAAGCGCCTCATGAGGTTTCTGAATAGGAGCGCAGCAAGGGTCTCTATTTCTCTCTGCCCCTCTCTACTCCTCTCCACTGTGTGGTCTCCTTCCCCTCCCCTGCAGCCCCCATCAAGAAGCAGTTTGATACAGTCATAGGCGTGCCCACGCAGTGCATTGTACAGCCACCGCTGCCCAAGGGCTTTAACGACCAGTACCTCACGAACGTGGCACTCAAGATGAACATGAAGGTCGCACCTGGGATTAAACCTGAGGATAAGGTGGGTGGGGACATGGGCTTGGGGAAGCTTTAACGCTGCTCACCACAGAACAGACCAGTGCTTGACATACGTGGTGCTCTAGATGAACATGAAGGTGGGGGAAAATCCTTGGTTATGAGGGACTTTTGAGGCGCCTCAAAGGTGGGGGAAAATCCCGGGTTATGAGGTGGGACATGGGCATGAAGGCATGGGCCTTGGTGTGTTTCGCTTGTCTCTCACCCTGCACTTTTTCCCTATACCATCAGATGGCCTGCGTAGGCGTTCAGGCATTAAGGCAAGGGAATGACCTGCGCTGTTGGCGCTGGCAGCTGCAATCGTTGAGAAGCCCTCCACTCTATGATCTAGTTTTGGGACGTCTCAAAACAAAACTCATCTAAGGCAAGGGGGAATGACCTACGCTGCGCTGTTGGCACTGACATATCTAATCGTTGAGAAGCCAACCATGAAAATTTCGTGCAATTCTTTCTATCCCCATTGCATCATCCCCATGCATCCCATCAGCCCAACCTGCCCAGGCACAAGCAAGGGGTGAAGTGGGTGCTCACAAACACCAACAGGGGCGCCATCAATTAGATGCCCACCATGGTCTTTGGCCTCGACGTCTCATCTGTCTTGCGTGACTCTGTATCCCCATGCACCGCATTGCACCGCATCGTCCCCATGCATCCCATCAGCCCAAGCTGCCCGAGCACAAGCAAGGGGTGAACTGGGTTCTCACGGAGACCAACAGGGGCGCCATGCGCGCCATCAATCAGATGGCCACCATGGTCTTTGGCCTTGATTTCTCCCACGGTGCCCCGAGCAGCCGCGCTCCCTCCATCGCTGCTGTGAGTGCATAGGCATGCATGCATGCATGCAGGTATCATCAGTGCATCTCTCAACAGTGCAGTTGCACGCACATATCCCCCCAACCCCTCCAACCCATACCCCCACCAGGTGGTTGCGTCCACTGATTTCAACGCCAGCAGTTACGCCGTGCGTGTGCGAGTGCGCTCACACATCCTCCCAACCCCTCCCAACCCCTCCCAACCGTCTCCGTACCCCCCACCACACCAGGTGGTTGCATCCACGGATCCTAACGCCAGCAGGTACACCGTGCGCGCACGCTCACACATCCTCCCAACCCCTGCCAACCCCTCCCAACCCTCTCCGTACCCCCACCCCACCAGGTGGTGGCATCCACGGATCCCAACGCCAGCAGGTACACCATGCGCGTGCGCTCACAGCACAGGAGGCAGGAGACTATTCTTGGCCTCTTTGATCCGGAAAAGGCCACTGGCGGCATGCTTTGGTGCGTAGTAGCATGTTGTGGTTGTTTGTTTGAAAGCTTATTGTGGTTCCGAGATTGTTTGCTTGTGTGTTGGCAAAAACAAAAAAAAACAAAAAAACAAAAAAACTAATATGAGAAAGTATTTCTTTCTTTCTTTCTTTCTTTCTTTTTTATCGTTGCTTTCCTTGAGCATTCATGCATCCCACCCTCCCTTTGCCCTCCTTTCGCCCTCCTCTCGCCCTCCTCTCGCCCTCTCTCCTTCCGCCTTCTTTTCATCCTTCCCTCACCCTCCTCGCGCCCCCACATCCTGCTCATCTCACCCTCCTCGCGCCCCCACATCCTGCTCATCTCACCCTCCTCTCGCCCCCACATCCTGCTCATCTCACCCTCCTCGCGCCCCCACATCCTGCTCATCTCACCCTCCTCCCGCCCCCACATCCTGCTCATCTCACCCTCCTCCCGCCCCCACATCCTGCTCATCTCACCCTCCTCCCGCCCCCACATCCTGCTCATCTCACCCTCCTCCCGCCCCCACATCCTGCTCATCTCACCCTCCTCGCGCCCCCACATCCTGCTCATCTCACCCTCCTCTCGCCCCCACATCCTGCTCATCTCACCCTCCTCGCGCTCCCACATCCTGCTCATCTCACCCTCCTCCCGCCCCCACATCCTGCTCATCTCACCCTCCTCCCGCCCCCACATCCTGCTCATCTCACCCTCCTCCCGCCCCCACATCCTGCTCATCTCACCCTCCTCTCGCCCCCACATCCTGCTCATCTCACCCTCCTCCCGCCCCCACATCCTGCTCATCTCACCCTCCTCCCGCCCCCACATCCTGCTCATCTCACCCTCCTCTCGCCCCCACATCCTGCTCATCTCACCCTCCTCCCGCCCCCACATCCTGCTCATCTCACCCTCCTCGCGCCCCCACAGCCTGCTCATCTCACCCTCCTTGCGCCCCCACATCCTGCTCATCTCACCCTCCTCCCGCCCCCACATCCTGCTCATCTCACCCTCCTCCCGCCCCCACATCCTGCTCTCTACCTCTTTCTTTGTGTGTGCATCCAACACGTTGCAGTGAGCTGATGAGCGATTTTGTCCAGGCCAACAACACGGCGCCCAGGCGCATCATCGTATACCGGTGAGATAACATGCACAAGCAAGGCAGGGCGGGGCAGGGCTGGGCAGGGCAGGGCGAGGTGGGTATGTGCGTGTTCTGTCTGAGGCACTTCAATCTCTGGTGAGGCCAACAACATGGCGCCCAGGCGCATCATTGTGTACCGGTGAGATAACATGCACAAGCAGGGCGGGGCAGGGCAGGGCGGGGCAGGGCAGGGCAGGGCAGAGCAGGGCAGGGCAGAGCAGAGCAGGGCAGGGCAGAGCAGGGCAGGGCAGGGCGGGCTGGGTATGTGCATGTTGAAGTGCTTCCGTCTCTGGCAACGCCAACAAGGTTGGCCACAGGCGCATCATTGTGTACCGGGCGCACCAGAGCTGCAGGCGTTCGACGGTGCTGCTCTCGTCTGCGTGTGTGTGCTGCTCTCACCTGTGTGTCTGTCTGTGCCACTTTCACCTCTGCCTGCTCTCCTCACAGGGACGGCATCAGCGAGTCGCAGTTTCCAACAATGGGCGCAGCAGAGCTGCAGGCGTTCCGCAAGGTGAGTTAGGGACGTGCATGGGTGGATGAACAGGTGAGGAGGTGGGTGGAAGCAGCGTGCATGCCGGTACAAACAGATCGCACCAGCGGCAGGTGGCTGACAAGAGGCAGGCAGGAAGGTGGTTGGGTGGAAGGGGGATGCATGCACGCACTGCATTTGTGACTGCTGTGAGAGAAGCGGAGTTGGCACAACAACGTGCGCTTCCTTCTCATTCCTTCCTTTCTCCCCTATCCCTTCCCCCTTCCCCTGCCAGGCATTTGAGTTCGTGGGCAAGAAAATGGGCGAATTTTCCATCCGCCCCTCCATCAGCTCCATCGTGGCACAGAAGCGCAAAAACGTGTGCTTACTCCTCATTCCTCCCCGCCCCCTATCCCTTCCCCTTTCCTTGCTAGGCATTCGAGTGGATAAGCAGGAAGAAGACAATCTCTTTCCGCCCCTCGGTCACGTAACTCGTGGAACAGAAGTGCAGCAACATTTGCCTCCTCCTCGCCCCTCTCCTGCCCCTTCCCGCACTTCCCCTCCAGGCATTCGAGTGGATAAGCAGGAAAAGGAAGATCTCCTTCCGCCCTCCCATCACATACATCGTGGCGCAGAAGCGTAACAACATGCGCTTCCTGCCGTCCCAGGGCGACCACAACGTGCAGCCGGGGACCATCGTGGATAAGGATGTGACGCACCCTTTCTTCTTTGACTTCTATATGGTGTCGCACAAGGGCCTGCTGGTATGTGTGCGAAATGTCGTACAGCAAGGTATGTATGTGCTACGTGCAGCTAGGACCATCTTGGAGACAGGGATGTGACCCATCCCTTCTTCTTTGACTTCTACATGGTTTCACACAAGGGCCTGCTGGTATGTGTGCGAAATGTCGTACAGCAAGGTATGTATGTGCTACGTGCAGCTAGGACCATCTTGGAGACAGGGATGTGACCCATCCCTTCTTCTTTGACTTCTACATGGTTTCACACAAGGGCCGGCTGGTATGTGCTGTGCTTGAGTGAGTGCATACTGCATATATGCGTACACACGCTCTGGCTTGACCGGGGACCATTGTGGGCTGCAATGTCACCCACCCTTACTTCTTTGACTTCTACATGGTCTTGCACAAGGGCCTGCTGGTATGTGTGCAGCAGCACATGCGATTGGCAGGGTTGTTGCCTGGTCACTCACACGTACTTGGCGTTACTCCCCTCCTTCATACCCCTAGGCATGCCCATACCATACCAATGCACACGCACATACACATGCGGCAATGCCTGTGCTGACGCGACCATTTGCATCGGTTGAGCTATGCAGGAGACATGTTTCTTGTCTCATTGGTGTTGCAAGATAGTTTTTGAGAATTCTCAAATATACCCTGCATTTGCATTGGTTGAGCCATGCAGGAGACATGTTTCCTGTCTCATTGAATGCCCATGCGTGTATGCTGTTCAATGTCATCGGTGCAGTCACAGTCAGTCGCCCACCCTCATTCAGGACGCACCGACTTGATCTCACCCAATCCTCCCCAACCCCCATTCATTCCCCACCATGGCACTTCAACTTGGCGCATGCTGGCCTATGCACTACTATGCACTGCTCTGCCTGATGAGAGTGGTTTTGTTCCATTAGTGCATCCCGCAACATTCATCCTCCTCCATTCCTCTGTGTTCCCTCCCAACAGGGCACGAGGAGTCTCGTGCACTACCACATGTTGCATGATGAGAACGGTTTCACTTTATTAGTTCATTCCTCAGGTCGATGAGTGCATTCATACACCTATCTATCCGTCTACGTGAATGTGTTTCCCCCCAACAGGGCACCAGGCCAGTGCACTACCACGTGTTGCACGATGAGAACAGGCTCACCTCGTCAGTACTCTCCTCAGCATTCATACACGTATCCCTCCATCTGAATGTCTTCCCCCCTAACAGGGCACCAGTAGGCCAGTGCACTACCACGTGCTGCATGATGAGAATGGGTTTACTGCGGACGAGATTCAGCACCTCACACACTCCCTCTGCTACAGGTGAGTCTCAGCATTCCCTTTTGAGATTTCTCAAAAGCGCAGTGCATTCCAGCTGTTTTGTTGGGCAACCTATCTACCTAGCGCCTTCCACGCTCGAAGTATTAGAATCGGGCGTGAGGCTTTTCGGTGTCAGACACACAGCACGCATGTTGCGGGTGATGAGACGAATTTTGAGGCGCCTCAAACTTGAGGCTTTTCGGTGTCAGGCATATTGCACGCATGTGGTCTCGCAGGGGAGCTCCTGTCGCATAATAAACTACCTGCTGGTTTCACGCATCCTTGCCATGTCAATATTTACTGCGCTTGTTACTAACCAGCATGCCATATTCTTGCCGCATGCGTGTCGTTCCCTCATGGCAGCTACGGGAGGTGCACTCGAGCCGTATCCACTGGTATGATATTTCTGCAGCAATCCTTTATGCTCTTTCATGTGTTACAACGTCTTAGTAATGCTGCTTGTAATAAATCCATCCACCCCTAAGTATCTCTTGTGAACTCCTGAGTTCGTATCCCTGGCAAGTGTCAAGAGTGGTTAGTGTCATGACACCAACTCGGAAAACACAGGGAGGACTAGTCCTCCTGGTGTCAGCTAAACCGACCAATCTGATCGCGAGAAATTGCCCAATGTGCCCAACATTGACACCAGGCTGGAGCCGCGTGCGGGCGCGGCTCCACCTAGTGTCAAGCGCGTTTGGCGTCTGACACCAACCGCATCTTGACACTAGCCAGGGATACGACCTGAATATGACAGTTTCAAATATGGGGTCTTGACATCCTGAATCATCATTGCGTGCAAGTCCTGTCCAGCATGCGTGTGCCATTCCATGAGATCTCTTCATATCATCCAATGCCATGCCCATCCCCTCCTGCTCCCACTCCCTCCAGTGGCGCCTGTGTTCTACGCGCACCTGGCAGCAACGCACTGCCGCAACTACCTGGACCACGATCACGATGCCACCGACCATTCCTCTGAGTCAAGCGCCAGCCGCAACCGGGACTCCGCCGTCCCCCGCCCTCCCCCACCGCCAGTGCCTGAGCTGCCTGCTCTGGCTAAGGGCATGCCCACTCGCATGTTCTTCTGCTAAGCCGCTTTTGGGAATCCTCGAAAGCATGTTCTACTGCTGAGCTTCCAGGTTTCTCAAGACCCAGCTGCCCCTCTCCCTCCCCCACCTCCTGCCCCTGAGATGTCTAATCCCGCTCAAGGCATGGCCACACGCATGTTCCAATGCTGAGTATCAAGGCGTCTCAAGATGCCGCTGCAACTCTCCCTCCCCTTCCTCCTGCCCCCCTGAGCTGCCTCAAATCACTCACAGCATGCCCGCACGCTTGTTCTACTCCTGCTCCTTCTGAGCCTGAGCTGCCTCATATGGCTTATGCAATGTCCGTTGCCCACTCGCATGATCTTCTGCTGATTGCTTGTCCTGCTGCTGAGCTTGACTTTTTATGCGCCTCAAAAGTGGACTCTGGTTAGCGACATGCCCATGCCATGCGCATGTTCTACTGTTGGCTTACGGTGTGCTACTTTCCTATCAAAGGGGACCATGTTCTTTGTGATATGCATGTTGGTTGGTAGGTACCATAACCATTGCACATGTGCAGACGGTGCTGCTGCTGACCTGCTTGCTCCCACATGTCCGTCTAGCCTCCATGCCTTGCCTCTCATCTTTGCCTTTCTAACCAATTCAGTCCAACCCAGGACCTCAGAAGTCATGATTTTTACCCTGAATTCCTGAAGTTTGACCCTCGTTTTTTATCGTGACCCTGATGTATCAGCCTTTTTTTTTTAACGACCCTGATGTTTCAGTGTTTTTTTATGTCGAACTCTGATTTTTCAGTGTTTTGTGTTTGAGGACACTGACGAGCCAGTGTTGTATCGAGTTCGACCCTGAAACTGGAAACGGCGCAAAATCTGATTGGCCCAAATGCTGTAGGAAGTTCATCCTGTGATTTGCGCCATGACCTGCTACTTCGGCTGTCAAGCTCCTACTACAGTACCGCCGACTGTTTTGCTGTACATGGCATCCTTCGTGCCAGGTGGTAAACTTCTCAAGTTCTGATTAAGACAAGACTCTTCAAGGAGTCTGCAGAGCAGTCGTCATAGCATTAGAGATCTGAATCATACAGCACACTATATTGCAAGTTACAAGAATAAGTTAAGCATTGTAAAATGAAATAACTAGATCGGAAACTAAGGAAAATATAAATGGAAAGTACTGAAGGGAGGGAGGGTTGGGTTGTAGATGCAGATCTACAAATGAATTAGACTAGGTGGCAGGTCCGTGGACCTGCCACAAGATAAGGAAGGAGTGACTCTTTACTGCATAATCCTTTACAAGTCTTGTCATAATCTTTAAATTTGGAAATTTATTTCAATTTTTTTCATATTAAGACAAGACTCTTCAAGGAGTCTGCAGCGCAGTCGTCATAGGTCAGACGAGACATTAGGTGCGTATGTAAATGTAAAACGTATCGGTTTGCTTGCACTTATTGTATACTCGATGCGAGTTCCTAAGCAATATGGGAACGACAGAATGCGTCAGTGAGAATTGAGCACGCGAAAATGTTTCTCCAACCATGATGAAGAAAATGTGTTGAGCTTGGAACAATGAGGGCATGGTCGGTCCACGAGAAAAAACAAACCATTGTCATAAGTGGTTGGGTCAGGAGGTGTTTTAGCTTTGGTTGTGAAGTTCAGCGGAATACCAACATTGCACAATCGCACGCTGAGTCCAAAATGTGTTACGGTTACACTGCAAGCATGCGCACATGGTTTTTCTTCCACGAAGAAGACCACAGGTGAATTGTCCACGTGAGTATCGCACTCGACCCGAACCCACAGATTCGTGTGCAGCATGTGTCGATAAGCATTTGTCTTTGATTAACATTAGGATGGTGTGGAAGTTAGATAAATACCATAGGACTACGATTCAAAATGCCAAATGTTGTTCAGCTTTGCAGATAGATGCTAAAATGTGGCATGATCGAAATCTCGATAACATATAAAAACTGGAAACTAGTGTTGCCAGCATCTGCACTTAAGTGCATGCCCAGTCCGTTCACATGGCTACTATGGGCCGGGTCTTTCTGTCATATTCAAAATAACAATGGCTTACGGAAGGAAATTGTGTAGCAAACCGTCAAGATATGGCATATATCATGCATCCTCAAGGATAGCGTTCCCATAAGAGAGGAGGAGCTCGGGGAACCATGACGAGGGCACCGTTGCACTGTATCAACGTCAAATCCCACGGCGAGTACAGTTGGGGTAACACGATACCCAAACAGTCGTAAGTGGTTGTTTATATAAGATGGACATGCGAGCCTCTGACTCAACGTCGTTCCATGAAGGGACGTTACGTCAGTAACGAGGTCATCGAATGGGACGCCCTTTTCGTATATGTTCATAACATCGTTCCGAAGAAACGCGTGCACGCTCGTATGCGAATACGATAAATAGTGGTCATGTTCTACGCCACTTTTGGTTACCCTTGTCAGAGACAAGCACATGCTCATGATAATTTTATGAAGTGATACACATGCTAGCTTTTGTGTGCGGTTACTTGATGATATCAGGTGATTCGTCAGGAATCGAAAGCTGGCATTCGTTGCATGATGCCAATATTCAATTATGACCCTCGACATTATCAATGTGTCATACCAAATGAAGTCGAGTCCCCACAACATCTGGAATAAGCTATATCGGTTGGATATGGCTAGGCCAAGACAGGCCGGTGTTGTTTGATAATCAGTAAGTAGTTTATGCAGAAGACTGCTTGATGCGGCCATGATCCCAAACTACTGGCGATTAGGCCTGGATACAACCGTGTTGTTGTCAGAATGTGATGTTTGTCTAGCCTGCAGTGGGGTACTCTATAGCGAGTACAGCCCGAATTAGGGTTTGCTATATGTACTCAACTGCCTGCTAGTGAAAACCCTTCTTTCCTGTTTCTGATTCTTGCCTGCTATTTCAACAGTTGTTTCATCAATTCGAACTTACATGCGCTGACATATTTACAGTAAAGGGAAAGGGAAGATGGATAGTGCAAACGGCCAAAAGGTGAAGGCCGGGGCTGTATCCAAACCAGGCCCTTAGAATGGTGTCGAGATGCTTGAAAATTAGAGTTGACACAGGCGGCAATATGCCGGTACTCACAAAAAATAGACAAAATGCCAATTTCTACTAGAATCTCAGGCTTTGCTTAAAACCAGAATATAAAATAATGAACCCTGTCCCAACTTGAAATGGTGCTGCAGAGAGCGGGCCGATAGAGCACTGTTCCAAAGAAAACGAGCAGCACTTTGAACAAAAGTGATTGGCTCTCGCCAACTTTCTGCTGTCTTGTTCCCGCCAAAATGTTTTTCCAGCCGGATCTCCCTCGTCGCACGTCTACGTGCTACACCTGCACGACTGTTGCCTGGCGATGGTTTCCGTCGCTAGGCCAACGTTGGTTTCAAGTTGGAACTGGGTTTCATGACCAGCTGCTCTCCATCCCGAAATCACTAGTTTTATTCCTAGCATATTTAGCTGACAACAATAGGTGTTTGTGGCCAAGGTAAGTAACTATCGACCCTGCAGGAATGCGTAAGACTGTCGCGTAGCTTAGTATCGTAAATTAAGTCCCTTCCGCAGGCGATCGTTGCACTTCCGCAGGGGCTAGTTTCCTGTCTCGCGCCTTCGCCATCTCCCCTACCCTCCAGTCGTTCGTCCGCTGTCCCTCCCATCACCTTCGCGGGTCACCCTCGATGCAGTCGTCGCCCCATCGCTCACCTTCGCGCTCTCCATCCCGTCGCCTACGCGCTCTCCTTCCCGTCGCCTACGCGCTCTCCTTCCCGTCGCCTTCGCGCTCTCCCTCCCGTCGCCTTCGCGCTCTCCCTCCCGTCGCCTTCGCGCTCTCCCTCCCGTCGCCTTCGCGCTCTCCCTCCCGTCTCCCACTTCATCTCCTCTCGCTCACGTCCTCCCCTCCCATCTGCATGCGCTCACGTTCCTCCTCTCCTCTCCCATCCCATCATCCGCCTCCTCTCCCCTCCCATCGCGTCGTTCGCCATAGCCCTCTCTATCTCCCTTCCGTGGCCTTCGCCTCGTTTATCTCCCCTCGCTGCCCGTCCCGTCACCTTTCCGTCGCCCTCGCAAACACACGCGCAACCGCCCTCCCGTCGTCCTCATGGTATCCCCTTCCATCTCGTCGCATTCCCTTCCCTTCCCTCGCCATCGCCTTCCCTTCCCTTTTCTTCCCTTCCCGTCGCCTTCCCTTCCCGTCGCCTTCACTTCCCTTACCTTCCCTTCCCTTCCCTTCCCTTCCGTCGCCTTCCCTTTCCTTCCCTCGCCTTCCATCCCGTCGCCTTCCCTTCCCTTACCTTCCCTTCCCTTCCCGTCCCTCCCCTTCCCTTCCCT